CTTTTTTTGTATAGCGTCTACTCTTCTACCTACATGTACCAAAAGCCATCATAGCTTATTCGAAAAGTTGATTCACTAAAGGGAACTTTAGGTACTCTGAAAATCAGCATCCAGAGCTAATATTTTCGCAATATAGTTTGGTAGCAAACAGTATTTTGGCCAAAATTCAGTATTAAGTTAACATTGGTTCACCTGCCAGAAACTGACGCTTAATTCTTTCTCGTATCACAACATTTTACCTTTTGTTTCCGAAAGATTTATCTTAGCTTAGGCTAGGAAACGTTGGCTCTCTGTTTGCTGTGTTCTTACAGAACCCTGTTTGTTTTCACAAGATAGATTACATACTGGTTGTAGTTGTGGTAACCGTTGTGGTATCCGTTGTGCTGGCTGAAAGTAAATTTAAAACAGATATAGACTGCATTAAACGAATTTTAAAACGAGCTTATAGTTTTTCTTACTCGTAACATTTTGTGAAGGATGAAATTTTTGCAAGGTCCGTGCAGACGTTTTGAAAATTTGGTATAAAGATTGATAACAGTTTCAAAAAAATTGGAAGAAACTATATAATAATTTTCTGAAGTAAAAAGGGTTGACACAGTAAAAGATCCTCCGCACGACCTCCTCTTGTAAAAATCGAAATAGAAGATTCCTTCTTTGATATAAACTTTATTCTTTCAGAATACAAGCGCAAAAATATTCCATTATAGTACTGTAAGCTAAAAACTGGCGAAAAGAGCAAAATCTATTAAATGGTATCAACTTTGGAATAAATTTGCTTATGATTTGTACTTTCTATTAATCTCAATAATATCATATAATTGTCATGCCAACAAAGTTTACTTTGCCCATGAAAGTAAAGTAAACCGAATTTTTCCATCACGTTGAAAAAAGTAAATAAAATTTTCTTTTTACGTTTTATCTTAGTAATGTAAAGTAGCCAATTTTTTCTTTACCCTGTAAATAAAAGTAAAGTCCCGCCCCTTATACATGAACTTAGCTTTGCAGTTAACTGCAAAACTAAATCCACTGTTCTGTATCTATATTCTACATAACGATTGAAGTTGTGCAATCGACTCTGTGCACGACTGTGCTTTTTCAGTATATTGTCCCCTCCTTTTCAACATTTTTCTGAAAAAAAGAGCAATTATATTACTGATAAAACAATATTTCAGTTAAAATTATGTTGTATCTACGCATACGCACAGAAAAACCTCATTATACTCGACCTGATGGTAAAATGAGACGTTTTTCCAATATTTAAAAATTGATGCAGAATATGAATTTTCTTTCGGTACATCACAAAACATCCATAAAATCTTGAAAATTTAGGGCACGGTAGAAGACTCGTATATTTTATTGTGACAACTTTGAATAAAATAAGTGCTTTTCTCGTGAAAGTTGCGTTTCTGTTGGTGATGGCTAGGCATGCACCGGTGTAAAGCTCGATTTTCAGCGCTTTTTGCAAATAGATTGTACATATTAAAGTTTTCTCACAACTGAGTTTTGTAGCGACAACATTTCTCTACAAAATATGCTATAGAAGCACTCTTCATCTCCATCCAGCACTTATAAAAAGAATATTTAATAAGAGTCCGATTTATCGGTTTCGGCTATGTAACCGATAAATGGGATTTGTGGTAGAAAGGCGCTGGCAAGGAAAAGAGACAATATGGAAAGATTCCCTGTAACTCGAAATGTTTTCTCTATAAAACTCAGTTGTGAGAAAAGTTTAATATATACTCTTCACCATTCAGTTTTCGCGAAGAGACGAACAAAAAACCGGTTTTTAACTGGTGCATGCCTACTGGTTTACAGTGTCTATCGATGGTAACCTATAGCAAGTTCGAATCATACAGACAGTCTGGTTCGTAAATCAAAACAGACTTTGGCATTAGTAAATATCTTTTGAATTCTTCATTAAAATCGGGTTTTCAAAAACAGTTTTTTGACTCTTTCATGACCTAGTAGGAAAACAAACATGTGATTGCGATTATGGTAGCGGTGGTGGTGCTCATAGTACTGTGCAGTCAAAAGAGTTTCTTGACAACAAAATAACAAACTGTTACGATACCTGTAAAAACGGCTGTGGTTATGTCTGAAATGAAGTAACCAGAAATAGATCCTGTAGATCGCATTCTTCCTCTATTAACTCTTACCTGATTTCAACCACATGACTAGAACTGCAGCTAAACCAGCAGCCCCAATTAACAGAGCAGTAGTCAACCCAATTAACAAGGCTTTACAATTCGGGGAGCATGAAACATTACTAGCACCTCTAAAACCAGGGTAAAATAGTGCTTATAAACATATCTAACCACAGTTCATACTTTAAATTTGGTATGATCTCCTTTGGTTCACTCCATGTTTCGGATTTAAGAAAACTTATTTTACTTGCAGATTCAAAAGCTGAATCAGTTCGAATAGGTTCCGGTGACCATACAATTCGTCGAGGCATGCTAGGATCAAATTTTGGATCTATCGACAGTACTGGAATCGACGAAGCTGGAGCCTTATAGCCAAAATTTGGACTATATAACCCAGTTTGTAATTGCGTGCTGTACTGCTTCTGCAAGAAACTTGTTCTGTTCTCATTGAGGCCCTAAAGTGAATTTTGATCTACTTCTGTTCCACCTTTTCGGTACCACTTTATTTCTTACCACTGCGTCCATTGCGTTACTAGTTTCCTTTCTTGTTCGAAAAGTGTTTGAACCTAAAGAACTTTGTTTCAAGAAAAACATTTACATCTATGCAAATTATATATTTACATGTTTTGATTATTTTTTTTTAACAGTATTTTTATTATTGATATTATGAAACTCAAAAATAAATTAAAACAAAACAGTAACGCGAGGCGAAAAAGCTAGACATAGCCAATTCCTTTTGTTTGCGATTGCACTTTTTTGTGATCCACTTGCAAAAGAAGTGTTTCACATAATAGCCAATGTACTTTTGCGACACTGAAGTGTCTCCATGTAGTCATTTTGAAAATTTTTCAAGATATTGTTTGTAATTATTGTGTATATATATATATGAAAAAAGAATAAAAAACAAAAAGAGAAGAAAGAGGAGGAAGGAGTCGATAGCGACGATGTGCACTATCTATCGTAGCTATCAATGACCAAATGCCTACCAGGTTTTATTGAACCTCAACAAGGCAAACACGCACGAGCAATGAAGCATTCCGAGACAGATCACTCTTCATCTGTTGTCTCCGTACTGGACAATAACAATTTTTTTCGACGACAGATCATGGTTAGCATGGCTCAAAATGCTGTTGCACTGGGTTATCATGACCCATCAATGCAAATTCTAGAAGATCTTAATACATCTGTAAAACCTCACGTGCAAGTGTGTGTGCAAGAAATAAACATGAATTTTGAACAAAAACCGAGTTAGGTATAAATGAAGAAGTAATCGAAGAAATAGGAGCAAATACTTTAATCAAATTATTTGCGTTAGAGTTAATTTTTACAGGTTTCCTTAACGCAACCGGAAAAATTTCAGATAAAATTTGTTTATCATACACAATGGTAATTAGACGTTGTTCACCTTTAAGCTCTTACAAAATTTAGTTTAACCTGGCTAATAGACAGAAAAAAATCTTTTTCAGTACTTGCATATTTTATTTTCGCCTTTTCGATTACCACTTTGGTGCAAGGATCCGAAATTCGAACACTATTTTATTTTCTTCTTATCCATACAACATTCGATAGAGCTCGACGAGCTCATTAAAAGTCAATTCATTATTAATATCTTTACAAAAAAAGATTAATTATATGACGTATATTTCAAAGTTTATTCATATTAATATAACAAAGACACATTACAACATAATACAATAGAAACAAATTTCAACATTAATAATCTATTTAGCATCGCACATTTACGCCACTCGCGCTATTACAATACTTGGGCGCACATTTATTATTTTCAGTACAGCTGTTTTAAGCGGATTTCTAAATAGAAATAAAGTAATCATTACCGATAACATACATATAGCAATACATAAGCAATTCGAAAATGATATCGAGGTGCACTATTGAAAAATGACATAATTGTAAACAGTACATGTGTAAAGCAAACTTTGATTAGAATTGTAACCTGTATAACGATACGTCGAACCATTTTTAATTCTCTTTGTGCGTGATTTAAAGTATTAAGGACTGTTACATGCTTATTCATTTCTTTCACATACAGAAGTAATTTTACATAAAGAAATATAATTGATGAGACCGAAATCATATAGGCACAACATGCCGCATAAATTGTAAAGAAAGAAAGTCGAAGAGGGGATTGACATA